CTTGCATGTTGGCCGTAACCCCGCAGCAACCCCTCCGCTCCTGGGGAAAAGGGCTCGTAGTTAGCTGATGCAAGTTAGCCGAGGCAGGAAAAGCGGCAAAATAAGTTAACATGCCGGGCGTGTTGAGCCACTTTGACAAGCTACAAATGTTGTGCAGAGCATAACAGCCACGGCTCCACATATCAGCCGCAAGAGCAGCAACGGCAGCGGTAGCAGCAACACCGGCAGCAACACCAGCAACATCAGCAGCACGGCAGCAACATCGGCAGGAGCAGCAGCAACATACAACATGTCTGCCGTGAGGAAAACGAGGAAAAGCGGTCGGGGAAAGCGGAAAACTTTTTAAAAGTCATATTCCCTGCGCACCGCTCGCAAAGTGGTTTGAACTTTAGAAACAATTTTGATAAAGATGCAGCGGGCGAACTTCGGGCGAAGGCAAGAAAAGGGGGAAATTCCCCAGCCAGCATGGCAAAGATGCACCCAGAGATTTCTCGCAGTGCATTGCTCTCGGCCCCAGACTTTTCTGTATGTGTGTGTGTGTGGGAATAGAAGGGCATACATACATATGTGTGCTGGTCATGTATGTAATTAGAAGTTTCGCTGCAGGACAACAAAATCAAGAAAACGAAAACTTTTGCAACCTTCGGTTCGTTTCGCTCTTTCGGCCGGTTCTTCAGGTTCTGGCCTTTGAAAATGCATGGAAATAAAAGAGTTACGTCTGCGGGCCGAAATTAAAAGAAACGGGCACAAAAAACGACAAGGAAAAGCGGAGAAAACTTGCCTGCACTTTTGTCGTTGTACATCTTTCACCGGCTAGCCTTTCCATCTGCATTTGTGTGTGTGTGTGTGTGTGCTTGTGTGTGATTCTTCATTAGCAGACTAGGGACTAAAACAAAGTCTAAGCGATTTCCCATCCAAAGTTTCTCCAAACGAACTTTTGCCAAGTAAAAAATTGATTCAAATTCAGAGCAGCATACTTTCGAGCTGACCTGAAAATGACTGACAAGCCAATTACCCTTTGGAAATTGTGATTTACTGCAAGTAGGCTTTACGATTTAAGCCGCCTTTTCGAAGCCAAATAACCAGGCTTAATGGCGGTTGAATGGCCGTGAGGCAGGACATTTCGTTGATGCCTGCCTTGCATAAAGTATAATTAAAAATTAATACACAAACTTGTGCCGGCGGGGCTTTAATGTCATATTGTGGTGCCAACGATACGAGTTGTTTTTGGCCAACCCGATATGGACCTGTTTGGTTTACCCTTTCCCTTGGGGCTAATGATGTGAACTGTTTGCCGAATGCCGCCTGCAATCACAAAAGTTAAACATATGCAGACCGCTGACCGTGCCAAAATCAACATAAACATCATTTAAATGCAACAACATAATTACAACCCCCGTTCCCATTGAAAAGGGGGATCTCATTTGTTTTTTTTTTTAATTTTTTCTATATTTCAGTTTTTTTTGGGATTTTTTATTTTTTGCTTTGTTCACAGAAATTCTCATCAAAATATCAAGTTACGTACAATAATAGTTGTCATACGTTGAAAAATGCCTTCGGTTTATACTTATACAAGAATAAAAATAACGTTTTTCTAATGTTGATGGATCATTTTCTCCTCCTCACTTATTCACGTTTAGCTGTTATTATTAGCTTCATTCTGCCGCTGTTATTCTTGTTTGTATAATAAACTAAACCTAAGTACAAGAAATGTTCTTCTCCGTCGTGTTTTTTGTTTTTTTTTCTGTTTTTTTGGCCTTTTCGCCCAATTGTTTCTGCTATTTTTTCTGTATTTATTTTCTAGATTCTTCTTATAATTTGTTTCCCCTTACAAAATAATTTCCAAATGGAGATGCACAAAAAGCCGCAACAAACAAGCCATAATAATAATAATTAATAATGTTTAATGGTCAATAATTTTGTTTTGTTTTGTTTTGTTTTAGCTTTTGCTATAATTATATAATCTAGGCGGTTAAGGGGCTCGGGGCGAGGCTGAAAATATGCTAATTGAATTAAATTCTATTAATTATTCTCGCAGTTAATCAACTAATAATTTATGCAAACATTTCCAGACAGCTGCGAAATTATTTCGAGTTCAGTTATTTATATCTATTTCATATAGTTTTTAATTTTCTGCTTGATTTGCGAAGCGCCGAAAAAAAAGAACAATCGATTGTGAAAAACAACTGTCAAGGATTATAGGAACCTGGAAAATCGGGATCTGGGTTAACGGGATGCCTGTTTTGTGAACTTAGCACACATCGAATGCACATCAATAATAGTAATTAAACACTGACAATTAGATTTTTTTGCTATTTGCTATTAGCTAAGAATTTTTTTCTGTTTTGCACAAGCATTAAATACAATTATTATTTTTTGTATTGTTTTTACTTTTGATTCACTTACTCCTAAAATGTATTTTTCGTTTGGTTTTTCCTGTGCCGAAACTTGTGAATTTTCCTCTTTATACCGCTGTTAGCTGTTGCTTATCTTTTGATATCAATTACACTGCCTTACGATTACAATTATAAATATGAATGCATGCCTGGGTTTGCGATCATGTACAGAAACGAGGAAGGGCTAAACAGAGTTATCTCGTAAAAATCCTAAGTAATCACCACTTGCTGCCTCCCCAAAATATTTCCAATCAGTAACCCCCCAACTTCTCTAACCCTAAGTAATCCTCATCTGCGTTCCAGCATTCCATCACCATTCTTGCTTTAGTAACCGTTCGTGCGTTCGTAGCTCAAATAAAAGTACTCTTTAGTTCTAATTTATAATGCTGTGCCTTAATTTGTAGATGCTTTGCATAATCCTCTCCAAAAACTGACTCCATCTCCCATTCCGACTTCTTCTTACGACATCAATTTAATTCACATACACACTTTACACACAACTGCCACGTAAATAGGTTCGCCATACGCTTTAAGTATATTCCCTTAAATACATATCCGCTGTATATATTTATATATTTTTTATGTAGTTTACTTTTGAGTTCATTTAACATTAAACTAATTCATTTCACTAAACTATACACAAAATCTTTTACGAGTTATGCCCTTATTTGCCTACATAAAATGTTTTACTCCTTTTCGTCCCCAAATCCCCATTGCCATTCCCAGCTTTCCGACTCTCTGTGTGTGTGTATATGCTCCTCTACTCCACTACTCCCATATATTTCTGCTATACTAAGCTTGGCCCTTCGCCATTTAGTCTACTCTTAAACTAAACGCTTATGATATTCCGCTCTGGAGTGGGGAAAACCCTGGGAAATGGTACAGGGAAGGGGAAATGGGTGGGGGGAGAAATGGGAAAATTGCTAAGCACATTTGCAAACGAAACTCTAAACGAAATTAAAATGTATTTACTCTAGTTTTAGTATACTTTATTTATTTTTATGTGTGCCTGCTGCCAAATATTCTCCTTGCCTGTCCTGCCCTGCGACTTCTGACTTCCGGCTTCTGTACTCTGTATTCTGGTTGTAATGCTCGGCTGTAAATCTGTAGAAAATGTTTATAGATTTTCCCTCAGCTGCTCTGCTTCAGAGAGCCGGACTCTCGTACTCGTACTTTGCCGGCTGGTTGACTTCGCAAAAGCTGACCCCAGGGAGCTGCCTTTGTAAAATGTTCAAGTGTAGACACTAAAATATATCCATAGTTTTTGGTTTAGTACTCTCTAGACTCACATTCAGCGTTACTTAAAATTCGTACTTCATTAACTTTAATTGCGGGATCGCGGCAATGCCCTCCCTCTTACGTATGCGTAGTGTTTTCTTTATTTTTTTTGCAGCCGAAACGGAGTATCGAAATGATCGAGTGTACTTAGCCTATTCGCTCTGGGCTCACACACCAAATACAGTTTGGAGTACAGACAGTATCCTATGCCTTCTGCTTCGAAGTCCCATATACATGTACATATATATATTTGTTTACTTTTTCTATTTTGCAATTGTTGCATAAACGCGGAACACCTCGTTGACCAGTCTTTCATTTTTGTTTTACCTTTTTACACAATAATTTTGTTTAATTTTTCTCGTTTTAAAATACACTTCTTCGGTTGTAAAATACATATATATATATATTCTTGTTTATCCATATCTATAGTGACGCTCACTCTGCGCTCGTGACTATCCGTTATCTGTTTTAGGATCTAAATATGATTTACGCTTTCGATTTTTAGTTAAAGGTTTTCTATACAAAATATTTCTTATATTCGGGTTTCTATTTTTACTGTTCTGGTTTTGGTTTTTCGGTTTTGGTTTTTTCTCAAAAGTTAGACTAAACTGATTGAAGCATTTTTGACACATCGTATTGGATTTGGATTTTTCACGTTTTCATTAAGTATTGTTCAGTGCAATTTTCGTTCGCTTGGAAGCCAAACGGGATTCTGAAACTGGAAGGGCCCTTTGGGGCCTTTGGGATTTTCAGTTTGTGGCGCGTTCATCTGATGATATATCGGTACATACAAATACGATAACACTCAAAGGACACAAAGCACAAGCAACACACGTACATATTGATATCGACAACGATTACAAATCAGAATCGTCAAAACTGTCCCTTTTTTCATCGACAATCAGTGAGAATAAAGCTAGAAAAAGGAGACAAATTGTATTTCGTGTTCGTATGTACATAAACATTTATATATATCAAGAGTTTTACTAAATTCCCATGCTCCTTATTGGGAGCAATTGGAGAGGACTCGCGTTTTTTTTGGCAAAGTTCCAATCCCTATAACCCTATATTTTCCGCATTTTGAGTGCGTGTGTGCTGCAGTTGATTGCCTGCTTGCCATTGATTTTTTGGTTTTTCATTTATTTTTTTCTTTGCCTTAGCTATTTTGTTGTTGTTGTTCTCTGGATCACAGAATTTCTCATCACACAAACCATAATGATTGACCGATATGCACATGCATATTGCTCTCGATCAACGTTGTATACTTTGATGTCGTGTCTCATTTGCTGAGGGGTGCTGGTGGAAAATGATAAGTCCGTGGAAACGTTCGCTTTCACAAGTTTTTTCTTTATTTAAAAATAATTAAAAATTAAACAAGTCATAAACAAATATGAGGAAATGATACACTATAAAATAAAAAAGCAGCACGCAAAAAATAAAGAACTAAAAAATTTTTAATTTACCGCAAAAAATAAAAGGGTATCGAAAAAAATGTCTTAGCTAAAAGGAATTGATTGATTTGATTAAATTAAGATTAATGAGGCACATAAAGAAGAATTTGTATGTTAAGTCGAAGATAAATTTTGTTTCGTTTTCGCTCGAGAATACAAATTTTGATTAAATTAGGTAAACATATCAAAGTGTTTTCGTAATACTTTTCATCACTTAGGCAATGCATAAGAGAAATTGTGTAAATTAAATAGTTACGTATATTCTTTAAAAACATAGCAACAAAATTGCTTTTTTCTCAATTAGCGAATATCAATCGAAATATAATTTAGTCGTTGATTTCATTTTAATGTTAATAGCTTTCAATTTTGAGTGATGCGGTGAAATGATATTCAGACCTAGGCAACATTTAAATTACAGTTAAAATTAATTTAAGAAAGTAAGCATGATTAACGTTTTGTGTTTTGTTTTGTTTAAAACATATTTTGCACTTTTACTTTTTTTCGTATTTGTATTTCTATTTACTGTTGCGGAAATATGAAACTAATTATTTATATTAATTTTTTACATATACATATATTTTTTCTAGTTTTTTATCTTTTTTTTTTTTTGTTGTTGTTTTTTTTTACATTTTCGTTTTGGCAGTGTTCACATTATGAAAACAAAAATATTATTTTTTTTTGCATTAAACTACTAGGTTTTTTTCTCATTTTTTCTAGCGGTTGCTGTTTTTGTTGCTGCTTCACTAAATAAAGAAATCTGCTTAGCTTTGGTAAATTGTACACGTTTTTTGCTGTTTGTTCAGAACTTGCGGCTAAATGCTAGGTGTGAATGGGGAAATGCGACCGTAATGCTGCTTTAGCTTAAACTTACACTTAACAAGGCATTGAAACAAATCGAATTTGCAATTGAAACGATAACGACGATAACCATACGATAACGAAAACGATAACGGCGACAATAATGGCAACACAAATATCAATCAGAATCAGAGAACTTGAATTTCCATCTTTGTGCTTGTGTTGTGATGTTTTCTTTGTTTTTTTTTTTTTGTAGTTTTGTTTATGTTTTTCCTTTTGTTTTTCCACCCCTCGCTGCTCCACGAGTTAAGTGGTTTTTGATTAGCGTTACGCAAGTTTTTCATCGCTCCTTGATGGCACACAGTTTCCGCTGAACTCCTCCGTCGTCCTGGACGTTCCGCCTCTGGCTTTTCCCGCTCTCCCCGCTTATATCTCGCCTCACATGTGGCGCTTCATGTGGAGCGCCAGGTGATCGGACCTCGAGAAGCAGCGATCGCAGTTGCGGCACTTGAACGGCTTGGCGCCCGTGTGCTTGCGGTAGTGGCGGGTCAGCTCGTCGCTCCTCGCGAACCTCCATTCGCAGCCCTCCCAGGAGCACTTGTACGGTTTCTCACCTGCAAAGGGAAGGGAAAAGCGGGAAACTCTTATTAAATAAGTTACATCCAAATTGGCTAGAGCTAAGTTACAGAGAAGCAAATATTTTGGTTTCTTGAATGAATAAGATTAAGGTAATATTTTAAACTTATTTCTATTCTATATTATCTTAATTCATTTCTGAGAGAAGTAACATGTTTTAAGAACTCCAAAGTAAGAAAAATTCTTTCCCTTATGTACCTTTACTCTTCCTTCAAGACAACCCCCTTTTCTCTCAGTGTCTGGGAGCTGCCGCAGTGGAAAGTGGCTGCAATTTCTACGCTACTTCGCTGCAGCAGCACAAACAATAAAGCGCATAAATATGCGTGCTCGGGGAGGCAAGGGGCTAGAGTTTGGGGAAACATTTTTTATTTAGCACGCGCCTGCCAAATGAAAAAACTTTTTCGACGCTGGCGCTCCGCGGACGAGAAATATGCATAAAGTAAAACATGAGTAAACACGGCGGGGCGGGGCGGAGAAAGCGGTGGAGAAAGCTGGGGAAAATGGGGGGGAAAAACGGGTAAAACGGGGCAACGCACAAACAGTCAGGAATTTAAGACAATTAAAAATGAAAAACTGTAAAATTAAAACCGAAACGGAACACGGAGCGAAACTGAACTGAACAGAACTGAGAGAAACGAAACGAAATGATGCTAAAGTCGACGTCGACGGTGTGCCAAGCGCGGTCCTTTGCCAACATTTTTCATGCGTGCCAAAAGCCTCAAAGGATACAAGCGGAGTAGCGCCAAAAGCCAGCCCGCGCAGCGCAGGATCCAGGACCAAATACAGAACCAGAGCCAGAGCCAGAAACATAGCCAGAAAACGGAGCCAGAATCCGAATCAGAAACAGAAACAGAAACAGAGCCATGGCGAAAAGCAGCCAGCCGAAAGGAAAAGGAAATGCAGAAGTTGTAATTTCACACAAAGCAAAAAAAAAAAAAGAAAGAAAGAAAGCAGAGAGACCTAAAAATGCGAGGGCCAGAGCGAGAAAGACCTGAATAGAGCGGGGTGTAAGCCAGGCCCAGTGCCAGAACACACTGAAAAAATACAAAACCGAGCCCCACAGACCTCCGAAAAAAAATGGGAAAATTATTTCAGTTTAAAAGACAAACAGCAGCCGAGGCAGGAAATTGCCGCCGTTGCTGCCGCTCCAGCAGCGGCAAAAAAAAAAAACCGAAAGAAAATGGAGCGAGATAACCGGCAAGTAGACGACGACAGCCAAGAAAAATGCATAAAGCTGAGTGGAAAACTTTGTAACGCATACCACACACACACACACACACAGAGATACACGCACACACGCACACATAGACTTGGCTTAAAACTTAATGCATGCGGAAATGTGTGATATTTCCGTGCTCAATTTCACATTATGCACTTGCGGCTTTCCTCCCATTTACCCCGGCCATTTTCCCCGAGCCAACCCTTCCGTTGACCGGAGCTTGGACTTGCCGGCTGTCTTAATTTCCATTTGTTTACACTTGGCCATAGCTCAAGTCGTTTATGTATCTGTGTGTGTGTGTGTGCAGACTCGCTTATGTATTGGTGGGTAGTATGTAAATGCGGGCTGTGATAAATATGTTATTGATTATCCCGGTCCTTGAATAAGTAACTAATATTTCTTTTTAATTTCTTTATAATTCTTCTTGCTTATAAGCGAGTTATTAACTGATTTCACAGTGAATATGCTGGCGAATATCTTTGGGATTCTGTTTGGTGGAACTCTGCTTCTGTTTGTGAGCATAATGTGAATGTATGTGGGCGACTGCCACTTGCACTTTGGCATGTTGTCAGAACTGTTTGGGAATCGAAGCATTGGCAATAAATAAACGAGTGCACACTCACACATATCGTTGTCTTTGGCACTTTGTTGGCCGTACTCCTCCCTCGCTCTTTATCAGTTTTTCCCCGTTTCTGAGTTCGCTTTTCCCTGGCCTTCCCTTGCAGTCCTTTCGGCTGTGTAAATCAGCGTCAAATGCACAAAGTGCAGGCCCAGAGATCTAGGATGCGACCCCCAAGAGTCTCGTATTGAAGTGCATTTAAACGGCAAAAGAGCTGGCAGCGGGCGGTCGGCAAACCGAGGGGCAAAAGCAGCGATAAAGCACCCAAAATGGCCGTGTTATCTGGCCATTGAAGTGGCCCGGCCAAACGAAACGAAACCAAAAACGAAATGAAACCGAAACGAGCCAACAACAAAATGTTAAGCCGATAAGACTGACTAATTGTATACACTTTTTGGGATATTAAGTTAGATTCTTTCCACAACAAGCGATATACAAGCAATACGATAGAAGGGAAAGAAAATAATATAATATTCTTTTGGAAACCATAGCTTTAATATAAAAACTAAATTGATTGTCAAGCAACCAAGCTAAAAAACATATTAAATAAATAATCACATATGATTTAAAAATAAACCCTTGTTCTCTAAGCAATTGTTACTATTCTTCCCTATCCTTTTTAGATGCACTCTGTGGACAACTCCCCATATTTTGCCATTACTCAGGTCCTGGCTATTGGCCATTACTGCGGGCCAGGCCAAAAAGCGAGCCATGGCGTGCATGTGGAACAAGATAGGCAGCTGGCCTCCCAGCGAAAGCGGGCAGCTCTTTAATTAGTTTTCATGGCGAGTCATCTGAGCTGACATTGTTAGCTTCGCGATGGAATGGCGGACCTGGACCTGGCCAAAAAGCCAGCCAATCGGCAACTGGGTTAAGCGATTTTCGCCTGCTTTTATTTCCCCCAATCGCGCCGAGACGTCGCCATGTTAATTTATTGAGCCGAACGCAGTTAAAACTTAACCTCAGCCGTTTGTCTGTATATACTCTATATATATATATTGATAGCTTCAGCTGCGATTCTGTGCCACTGGCAGGCCATAAAGCCGGCACTTGTAAATTGTTTAAAGGCAATAAGGAGGCGGCCACCAAGGAGAACCAACTGCGATGACTGCAGCCGCTTAGCAAAAGGGAGCGGCGAATGGAGCCAGTTAATATTTTATAAATTTCACTTGGCGCTGGGTTTTAATTTCAGTCGGCAATAGGAAAGAATGCACTGGCGGGAAAACGCCGGCACGGGGGAAAATAGCTGAGGAATCTCTTTTCCTCGGTGGCTTGGCCCTTTTCCTTTTTTTTTCCCCCATTTTTTTCTTATGGAGCTGCTCGATGCCTTCTCGGCTTTTGCACTCAACACAATTTTTATGGTCTGTTTGCGTCTTTTCACTTGATTGCACTTGTAATCTTTTCTTAACGGCTCCGGCGTCTCGAGGTTTTTCCCGGTTTTTCGCGAGCTTTTCCAGACTCTGGTTGCATGCAGCTTTGGCATTTTTATAGCCGCCTGCGCTTAACTAATTGAAATCGTTTGTGGCCAAAGTTTGCCAAGCAGCATTTTATTTCGCCGAATGTCGCTTTAATTGATATTCAATTGCGCCGATATATTTCTCTCATGTATATGTATGTGTGTATGTGTGTGTGTGGGAGTGTGTGTGGCCAATGTGCTTGAATGGCTTTCTAATTAAATGGTGACGGCAACATGCAAATGGAAACGGTCGAAAGCCACAGGAGGAAACGCAGGAAGTGCGCTCGAAAACCCAAATCAAATTAATTTCACTGTCTGTTTCGCCCAACCAGCCAACCAACCAACCAGTCAACCAACCTCTCGTCCTGGCGAAAATGTTCAAGGACACTGTTTGGCAACTAAATAATAGCTCGTCATCAATTATTCGCATGCGTCCGCTTTTCGAATGCGACAACATTTAAAGAACGCTCCGTCTAGGAGCCTCTCTAATGAAATTCTCCGCTGAGCTTCATTTGCCATGCAAAAAACGTAATTCATTAGGTTTTCTTTAATTTAAAAACCTCGCCTGGTCTCCATGGTATCATTAAAATAATTACGTTTTCCTTTTTCGCCCAGCTCCTTTCATAACATTTTTTTCGTTTTTTTCTCGTTTTTTTTGGCTGGCTGGCTTTTTATGGCCAAATCAAATGTTTCAATCTTATCGCCGGGCCAACACCTTGGCTTTTGATTTATTGGTCTCCCTGGACTTCCCTATCTGCCCTGCTGCACTTCCAGTAGTTGAACATGTGTAATTAATTAAAAACTCCTCAGGTTCAAGGCAAACTATGGAAGTTTGTCTGGGAAATTAGCACTTAAAGCTGTTGAGGCAACAAAACAATGGGCAAACTCTTTAAAATTTAGTTGGGTCTTTCGGTTTGGCTTGGCTTGGCCAAGATAAACTGAAAATTATGAGCAAAAACTTTAACTGTTATGGATTTTTATTGAACCAAAGGCTTTTGGCTTACTTGCGGCCGAGGCAAACAACAAGGGCGGCCGGGTCCGGAATTGAATGTTAATTAAAATGTTAAGCTCCGCCGCCGGGGGCCAAAGTAAATTTATAAATTGAGCAATATCCTGCGGCTGTCACAGAAAGTTGTTGCTGTTGACATTTGCCAGAAAGGCAGGGCGAATATTCCCCTCAAAGCCTTGAGCCGCACATGAATCTTGCTTATGTGCTGATGATGGCCACGCCTTCAAGGGGCCTCCATTCAGCTGGGAACAGAGCAACTTTGACCAACATTCGGCCACTGGGCACTGAGCAAACAAACCCAACCCCCCATTTTCAGCCATTGTCGAGTTGAGTGAGAAATATCCGAGGCCCGAATTTCATTTGCCGGCAAAACATGCTGGGCTTGCAAAGAACCAAATGGGACTAAAGACTGGGGACTTGGGCAATGCTTGGCCAAAAACACTTGCATGCATAAGTAAACAAGTCCACACAGAGCTGGTTATAATACCCATTTCTCATCCAGGGTATATTCGATTCGGATACGAAAACGGGTCAAAAGTCAGCCTCCTTCTGTGCGAACTGTTTGGCAAAGGCATTGCAAAATCATTTGCCTGGCATTTGAGTGTGTGCCAAATGATTTGTTGGCCGCCCCAAGAAAACTGACAAGCCAAAACAAAGAATGAATCTACCAAAATCATAAAGCGGAGCGAGACCAAAATTCTCAGAGTGCACATGAAAAAATATTTGCTTGTTATGGTACGTATATTATACCTAATTAATTAAAGATTGATTTCAAGCAGAAAGTTTTCTTCTAGTTTATACTTTAAATTACCAATATAATTCACAAATATAAAAAATAAATCAATTACTAGTAATATTTTAAACTTTTCTGTGTGGTGAATCCAACTGAATGCGCACAAATGTTGTTCGCCGACAACTGCAAACTTTTTTCTGCCCACTTTTTGGCAGAACTTGAAATGGATTTGGTTTTCTATTTTATGGGTTAAGTGTTCGCTGGCAGAGCTCTTGTAAGCCAACACACGCACACACACATCCGCTTTCTGTGGGGCACAAATCAATAGATTTGCTCTCTCGTGTTCGAATGTGGTCGTAATAAAATTACATTTCAACGCATACCACACATACACACACACAAACACACACAAATACATAGATGGCTGTGCGTGTGACCAATATTTCATGTTTGAATTATGCGATTTTTATTGAAATTTCAAGCAACGTCTGCTGTCAGGCGATGAGGTTGTTTTTGGTGCCCAATTGCCGGTGGCCGAGACCGGATGATCCTGCCACTCTCCCCATCCCTTTCCCCTCCCCCTCCCCTTGCAACATCCCACCCATTTCATGTTTTTGCCGGGCTTTGCCACCGCGACTGCAAGTCTGTGGCAAGTGGACGTGGTGGACAAAGGACGGTGTCGGTCAAACAATGCAACATGTCACTCCGGCCTGTCCGAGGGAATTCTGTCGGGGACATTGTTGTCGCAGCCCTCTGATTTATTGGGCCAACAGGAGCAGGAGCAGGAGGAGGAGCAGGAGCAGGTGAGGTTGCAGGTTGCAGGTTGCATGGTAGGTTGCATGCGGCAGTCTGAGGTTTTTCGGCCTCTCCCCGTGGCACACGCTTTTAATTGCCGACTGTGGCAGTTGGAAATTCAGATCTGTCAGTTGCACATCTCACACACAAACACACACACACGCATGTACTCCTCAGTTCATTCATATTTTTGGGGAAAAAGGGGCAATCCCCCATCACACTCACCTGTGTGCGTTCTTTGGTGGGCCTTCAGGTGCGAGCTCTTCGTGTAGACTTTTTTGCAGCCCAGAAATTGGCACTTGTGTATCCGCCGCTTGGCGTCCGGGCTGTGATCGCTGTGATGTTGGCGCGGGTGGTGCGATTTCGAGGAGCCTGCGGTTGCGAAACAACAAAAACACACACATTCAGGGTTAAAGGTGAAGGGTTAAGAGTGTTGCTGCACAAACTGGGTCAAGTTTCGACCAAACTCACCGTTCGATGACTTTTCAGCGCGTTGCGCGAGCACCTGTTGCTGCGATGTCGCCGTGTTGCTGCTGCCGCTGGTGTTGCTGCTGCTGGAGTTGCCGCTGTTGCTGCTGTTGTTGTTGCTGCTGCTGTTGGCCGCTGCACTCAGCACGGCTGCCACATTGGCATTGCCGTTGTTCTGCATCTGAATCACGCGGGCCAGGCTTATGCCAGCCGCTCCCGGCTTCCCGTTGGCCGTTGTAAGTCGAACGATGGTGCTGCGCGGAATGTTGCTGTGTGTCGGCTGGTCGCCGTTGCTGCTACTGCTGCTGCTGCTGTTGCTGCTGATGCTGCTGCTACTGCTGCTGCTGCTGCTGCTGATGCTGCTGGTGCTGCTGCTGCTGCTGATGCTGCTGCTGTTGCTCTTGGGCGAGTTGCTGCCATTGCTGCTGTGGCCGAGGGCCTGCGGCGATATGCTCAAATGCTGGACGGCCAACTGCTGTTGCTGCTGCTGCAGTTGCGTCATTGTGGGATTGCTCTGGCTGGTGAATCGTAGGATTGCTGTTGCGGGTGTGGAGTTGCTCGTCTGCTGTACAGGTCGCTGCTGCTGCTGATGTTGCTGCTGTTGTTGCTGTTGCTGCTGTTGTTGCTGTTGTATCAGCGCCGCCAGATCGTTGGCCTCCAGCTGCTGGGCGTAATTGTGGCTGCGGAGGGTGGATTCTGGCGAAGAGGGCGGCGTCAGCGTGGGCAGCACAAAGTCCTGAACGTGCCCCAAGTGCAACCTCGCACTGCTGCCCTGGTGGCTCTTGGCCTGCACCACTCGCACTTTGATCCCCGGCGCCGAACTGTTCCGGGAACTCACGGTGATGGTGCTGCCGCTGCCCAAACTGCTCAGCGGACTCGCAATGATGTTGCTGCTGTTAGTGCTGGTGTTGCTGCTGGTATTGCTGTTGCTATTGCTATTGCTGCTGCTGTTGCTGCTGCTGCTGCTGCTGCTGGTGGGCGTCATGTTGCCCGCACTGCCGATGCTGGGATTGGGGGAAATGGCCGAAGGTGGAGCCGCCAGCAACACACTCAACTTGTCATCGCAACCGACTTCGTCGTCCTCCTCGTCGATCCGCTCCTGCTTCACCATCACCGAGCAGCTGAGCCCCTGGGAGCCGTTGCTGTCCCAGGAGATCCCCGAGCAGATGGACGAGAGCGAGGAGGTCGTCGAGATCGTGTCCAGGTGCTGCTCCTTGATCTTCAGCTCCTCGAGCAGGCGGGCGGGTGCGGAGAATATGTCCCAGGCGTTGTCCAAATTGCTGTGTCGCTTCTTCTGCAACTTGGGCTCGTCCCGCAGGTAGCGCTCCAGTTCGTAGCAGGTCTGCAAGGGAGGAGAAGAGCAGAAGGTGAGAGTTCATGAAAAGTCGGTCCATTAGGGCGCAACAAGGTTAATGGGGAAACTGTTTTGGTCCTGGTTCTGGCTCTGGGTTGGTCCAATTCAATTTGCCCGGCGTACACATTGCCGGAATTTTCGAGCACATTAAGCCGATAATTTAGGGACGCTGCCCGCGGCCAGAAACATAAACATAAATTTCAAATTATGCCTTTATGCCTGGCGCAATTACAGGTAATAATTTTGCGCATTGAATTTATGGCCAGTTGCATACTTTTTGGGGCGCCCGACGTCGCTTAATGGAGGCGACAATAAAGTGCACATGAAATTGGGTGGTTTGGGTTGGGTTGGCTGATGGTTTGGGTTACCCCCAATTCCTTTGATCTGCGGACTCGTTTCGCAACTCGTTGCACGTGAAAGTGCACACGGTAAACAGCAAACTGCAAACAAGCCGCCGGCACTTGCCACGCCCCTTTGATGCAACGCATTCAATATACGAGGAAACTTATTTAAGGGGCAAGGTGGCAACATCGAGTGGGTTCGAGTATGTGTCTCTTAAAGTCACCCACAACAAATTGAAGGCACATGACGGGCAATTTGCCCAGTCATTTGTACAGAACCTTTTCGGAGGCATTCCAATTTGATTGGGGGTGCCAACAAATCTTATTAAGGGCGATGCAAAGCGCCGAGTAAAAAGCCAATGAGGCGGAATAAGCAGGCACATCAGCAAAATATGGAAAGAGAAATGGGGGAAATGGGGGAAATGGGGAAAGGGGAAGGAGAAAGCCCCTTTTGACCATTTTTACGGCTCACACATGCCCGCCGCGTAAATCACTTTAAGTGTTATTTCAAGAAAATAATTGCAACACATAAATTTCCACAACCCTTTTCACGCGACTCGACTCGTCGCACGGAGAACAGGGAAAACTATAATGGTTTATGAATCGGGATAATGGCCAAGGGGTGCTGGGATCTGGCTTAGACTTTCGGTTTTGGCCTCAGCACATACAGCATGATTAATGGGCGGCCGCCGCTGCCGCAGCTTCTGCTGCTGCCACTGCATTTCCCCGCCGCTTTTCCTTTATTTTCACTCAGACAATGCAGGCGGCGAAGTGGGGGGATGTTCAATCTTTGAGCAGAAATCTAAATAAAATGTTACATGCGCGCAATGCAAAAGCAATTTGATATATTGTCTCGGGGGTGGCAGGTAGTCGAAATGGGAAATGGGGAAAGGGGAAAGGGGAAAAGGGGGGAAGGTACTATCAAAAATGGCATTTTGATTTATGCGCTGGCGCTTTCGCTGCTCCCGGCGATGCTGCAAACAAATCACGTGAGCCAACAGGCCAAAGATTAGACGCGACTTTCAAATTGCTGCTGGCAAACAAGGACTCCACTCCACTCCCCCTCCAGATTTAGCTCAACTTGGGTGGCTGCGGATTCACCTGATTGATGGCCAGCGGGTGTGCAGTTCAGGACCCGGCCAATTTGTAAAAAAGCCAAGCCAACTTCGTCGGTTGGCCGGCAACAACAACACAACACACGTTGCCAAAACAATATTGCGCCATGTTAAAACTCAATTATTAAGCTAATTATGATGCGTTATCTCACGCTCGGTAATTAGTATAATTAGTGTTAGTTGCCAGGACGGCCGGTATTGTTTGTTGTATTGCGAAAAAGCGCTTGGCTAGTTGGATTTAAGCCAACAACTAAATGCGAGGATTTTAATTAAACTGAAAACCGCATGCAGATACTGCACGCTTTGCGGGCGGTGAAATTGGTTCGCAAAATGCGAATTATTATTGATAAGTGCAAAATCTAATTGCAACCACTTGCCGACCGTCAATTAGAAATGCACAGCAGTCTCTGATCGGCTTTAATATGAAAATGTGTGTGCTAATATTTCATTTCCCCAAAGTGAAGCACAGATTAAACGAAAACAGCAGAGTAGTTGGTTTTATGGGAAATACTTCGGTACCTATATGTTAAATAATATCCGCAATTCTGGCTAACAACCTGCATGTATGTATATAATTATGGATATTGACGGTTTTCCTACTTAAGCCCTTAACAACAGCAACAACGAGGAGGGTTGAAGACTAAGAAGAAGAAGAACACTTGGCAGCAGATTGAAGAGGGCAAAAGTTGGCTCTTTGTTGTAATCAACATAATTATTGTTGGCACAAAGTTCTGCGCGAAGGAGAAAACATTTTTCTGTCATGTGTGTGTGGGAGTAAAACTTTTCTACTTTTCTTAGAAAAACTTTTTTTTCTGCTGTTGCTCATTTGTGTTTAATAGAAATTTATTTGCCCGCCTTTGGATGTGTGCGTGTGTGTGAAGGTACAAATCCCGAATACGGTATACTGGTACGGGTGTCACTCGATGTATGTAACTGGGAAACTGGGAAACTGGTGCGAGGGCGACGACAAAACACTTTTGCGCACTTTTTCCCAGCAATTTATGTCGCTCCACTTTGGGCCACATAAAAATCTTCATTTCCGTGGCGTTTATTTGCCGTCTGCCTTGTGTTTCGTTTTCTATTTCTATTTCTGTTCCAGCTCCTGTTTCTGATCCTAAATTGTGGTTCTCCATTTCCCATTTCCCATCGCCTTTCCTTTCCTTTTTTATTTTTTTTTTCACTTTCTGGTCCTGTGCGGTGGAATTGTGTTTTAACTCTGAGCTGGTTTATGCGCTGCACTTAGGCGATGTGGTGACAGCTGCGGTTATTAAAACCTGCAAATTGTATTTATATCCCCGGGCAAAGTGGAACCAAGATTTTGACAAGCCGGAAAAAAAGAATAGACATATTTCGGCATAAATTTATTGGCTCACAGATTACCGGGACGGCAAAGAGATATTGTGCAGATACGGAAAGTGGAGGCAAGGCGATGTTATCCCCACTTTTAGGCTAAGCAAATTATAGAAGGAAGTTGAAGGCGAGACGAGGGAAAAATGCAGAGGAATCCTTAAATTTTAGCAATTATCTAACCACAAATTGTTTGCCTAGTCTAGAGCATTTGAGTTCTCGAGAGGATTCGAGGAGGTGGAGGTGGAGGAGGAGAACTCCCATTGTGTGGGGCTCGGGCAAATAAAATTTTGAGCCAAACCGGATGAAATGAAATGTTTGCCCAAGGACCAAGCGATCCAGGACTTTGGTGGCAAATTGAATTTGGCCACAGCAAATAGAGTCTGTCATTTTCCCCGGGTTTTCAAAGTGTGTGTTTGGGTGTGTGTGGGTGTGTGTGTGTGCCCACACATGCTAATGTAAAATAAAAGCATGCGATTAAATTTAATTATCTAGCATGTTTATTAAAGTCCACAAATGCGATATGGCAGTCGGGGGTAGGAATCGCACAATTGGGAGAGATTTGGAGTATTTGTCTGCTTGGAATACACACACACACACACACACTGACTTTGGGGCAATCCCCGCGGGATGCCACGCCCCCGGGCAACCGCCTTGGTGGGCGGAACATATTTAATTATGTGTGTAATTGAAAAAGACGCAACGGCAGTTAAGGAACATACGCATGCCTCAAAGAAAAGCTGTTGGGGCTGCGAGAAAAATCAAGCCGTGACTATTATGCGGCACATGTCTGCCAAGTATCCTGGATGTTCTGGATGTCCTGGATGTTCCTGGTGTCCTTGGTGTCCCGCTGCGATTTCAGTGCGTGTGTGTGAGTGTCTCCGCGGTGCGTGTCTGTGTATTAGAAAGACATTAGCCGACGCCAGCGGGCGGCAATCGTCCTGTGGTTACACGAAAGCGAAGGACTCAAGCACCAAGGACTCGGGACTCAGGACTCAGGACAAGAAGCATCTGCCATTGCCGAAAAAGCGCTACACAAATACAATTTTGGCTTCTCCGCCGCCGCCGCCGCCTGCATTATGTCATTTAATGAGCCATAATTCCAGCGAGGGCCTTAAGTCCTCGCCCCTCAAGGGAAATGTTCGCCGAACATTTTTCCGTTCTCCATTTGTGTCTGTCTTGCTGGCTGCCTCCATTTTGAAAGTTTTAATGAACGAAACGTAATGAAATTATGCCGACAATTAATGCCGCTCGAAATGGAAGCCAAGAAGGCACTTTAAGATGGCTTTTTCTCTTAAAGATGAGCATTGGATATCGAATTGGAATATTAGACAGACAGATGCTCTTCCATATGAAATATTGTATGTTTAAATTTGAAACAATTAAATTGTTTACAAGAAACTTTCAAAAAATTAACTTTGAATTTTAATCCAGACTAATCTCTTCTTAAAACATTTAATAGCCCACAAATCAGTGCAATTATTGCAGGTGTAATATTGCCAACAAATCTCTCACTCACTGTCGCAAATATTACAAATATTGCACTATATGGTATGCCTTACATATTTATATCTGAACACACATGCCGGGAGATTACACACAGATTGATACGTTTCGTGTGTCGTTTGGATTGCAACTATTGTTTTCAATTTACGTCCTGCTGCGCAGCTCCAACTCCTTCCCCAATCCCACCGAAAGTCCTGAAAATCCTGAGACTGCCAGCGATGCAGCTCCTTGTTATCTGGCTGTCAGCTAAGTGACTTCTTAATACGGGGAGATTGCGGGGGGCAGGGGGCAGAAAGTGGCTGCAATCTCTGGAGTTGTAAGTGCAGCAGCAGCAACAATATCAGCCAGTCACTAGTCACTCGATTTGGCAATAACAATAAGCCAGACAAGGAGCTGTGGGCTAACAGGGAGGTTGGCGGGGTAGTTGAATGGCTCTTGGCCATCGAGAGGTGACAGGCGACAGGGGCAAGGACGCAGCAGGATAATTGAATTATTGGCATTATCACTGCATTTGCACTTACACCCGAACACGCTGCCACCATCCCCTCTCCTTTCCTCCCAACTCCCTTCTCCTACCAACTTATTCCAGCCACATTACAAAGTGTAATGCGTTGATTTACTTGACCTGCCCCGCAGAAAGCCCGCTGCAGTTGTTTGCCAGTTTGTTTGTTTGTTTTCG